AAAAGGCGAACATAGAGCTGCAACACAGGTGGGTGATGGCTGCCAAACCCGGCTCCCCCAACACCCCCACTTGTGTCACCTCCGGCAGCCTCGCGTGGGCGCAGTCGGCCAGGTGGACAAGGAGATGGGCCTTTCCACGAGGCTCCCTCTGTCCCTCCCCGCCCAGACTCTGCACAGCGCCCCCTGGGGACCCACGCGGGGTTTGCACGGTCCGAAGCCCACACCCTCGCCCTCCCCAGGGGAGGCGCTTTACAAGTAAAACACGGTGGCTCGGTGCCTACTTCGGAGGGTCCACCAGGCGCCCAGACCCCTTGGTGTCTCCAGGATGCCCGCCGGCAGATCCCCAGCTGCTTCTGGTGAATCTTAGCTAATCCAGCTGGACATGGGCAGCCTCAGCGGGGACCGACCCCGCTGGGCTCCTTTTTTTTTTTTTTTTTTTTTTTTGGTGGAACCAGGGTTTGAACTCAGGCCCTTGCACTTGCCAGGGAAGCGCTTATTCTACTGAGCCATCTCCCTGGGGTCCTGTCCCTTCTGCGTCCCCTGTCCCTGGGAGGCTCCTCAGTCCCTTATGCAGGACGGTCACTGCGAGTCCCAGGCCAGCCTGGGCTACTGTAATGGTTGACATATTGCGTCAGCTCGAGCAGTTTAGAAGCTGAGCTAAGTGGCCCAGCAGGAACCAGGGTCCTCGCTTTGCAAACACCCTGTGCAAGAGGGGGCAGGGAGATGGTGTAGGCGGGAGCCAGCATACCGTAGGAGGGAGGGAAAGAGGCTTGCCCTACGCTGCGGCTCTTGCTGCCTTTGCTGTCTTCTCCCGCCATAAGCGGCTCTCTTCTGCCATGTGCCACCCTGCCTTGGAGCCAGCTGAGTGTGGACTGAGACCTCCACAAGCTGTGAGTTAAATCAGCCTTTCCTTCCTTAGCTTTGGGCGTCGGGTATTTTGTCTCAGCAACGAGCGAAAAAACAGCTACATAGCGAGACCGTGTCTCAAAAATTAAAACCAAATAAATCCACATTCATGTTATTTTTTATGTGTTCTGTGTCTTGCTTATTGCACAGAAAAGAGACTGCTGAGCGGCACAGTGGCACGGGACGGTCCCCCTACTGCCCGCACGGGCGGAGGAGGGTCACCCCAGCCCACAGGCAGCCTGCGGAGACCCCAGCTCCCAGGACCCAGCCCCGGTGAGCCGCCAGCCTGGTGCTGCAGCAGCTCCTCCGGCCACCAGGGGGCGCCGCGGTGTCACCTGCTGTTCCTCCGCAGCGCCGCGGTGACCCTCTGGGAGGAGCCCGGCTGGCCAGAGCAGACGGAGCTGGGTCTTACAGGAGCTGGGAAGCATAAAGTCATTTGGTAGGCCCTGCTGTGACCCCCTCTGCCCTGGGGACCTCACGCACACAGCCCTGCACCCTATGGCCCACAGGCCTGTGGTTTACCAGCCCTGCACTTGGTGCCAGGGCCCCAGGCTGTCCGGCTTTTGCGTAGCCTCTCCCCGGTGGGCAGCTAACCGCAAAACCACCCCACGACCACCTCTTCAGCAGCCCACTTCTCTGGCTTCAAGAAAGACGCCTTCTTGACAGACACAGGTGCACTCAGGAGGCCTCACTGATTCGGTTCTGCTCTCTTGCAAGCAGGGACAGCAAGCGACAGGGACAGGGAAGTTCCTTACCCAAGGTCACGTGAGTTGTAGGTAAAAGTCACCACCCAGGTCTGTGTTCTTCCTTTCCCCTTTTTGCAGCCCTGAGCATCCAGGGAACCCTAAACTACATCCCCAGTTGGGTTTTAATTTGTTTTGAGATGGAGTCTTGCTGAATGTCCTGGCTGGCCCCAGGCTTGCAAGCACCCCGCTTCCGCCTCTGGAAAAGCTGGGATCACGGATGTGCACCTTCACCAGCAGGCAGGTCTGCTCCCCTCACTGGCTGGCTCTGGGAGTCGGCGCTAAGTGTGCATGGAGGATCTCTGAAAGCAATGAGTGCCTCTAGGTGAATGTTCAAGATCCACCCCACAAGTTGCCACCACAAATGTTAGCAGGTGGGCATGGAAGAGGCTGCCCAGCCCAGGACTGGGTGGGGAGGTAGGCAAGGTCCCCATGCCACTGACCAAGGTCCAGCCTGGCTATGTCCAGGCACTGACCAGACAACGGGGCCAGTCGGGGTGATAATTATGATCATGACTCTCCTTGGTGCCCAACTGCGAGGACAGTGTTCACGTCTCCATCTCCTGCCCATCCTGTGAGACTCAGACCGGTACCTCGCCCTCCTTGTGCTTCTGTTTCTCCTCCAAGAAATGAGAGCAGCTCACACCCCTGTAGAGCTCACCTGGTGTCCCCAGCAGCCTGCAATCACAGCTCCTGCGGCTGTGCCACATGCCAGTCACGGCAGACAAGTGGTGGGTGACCTGGGGACAGCGGGAGCAGGAGCAGGCAGGTGGGGAGCCGTTGGGCGCCCCGGGTGGAGGGTCCTGGGACTGTAAAGGCCTGAGCACCTGGAGCCCTAATGGAGTCCAGCTGGGATACAGCGGTGTGCCCTGCGCATGCGCCAACTCCTACGCTGAATGTGATCATCACGCACTACAAATGCGAACTCATTAAAATAAGTGAATAAATAATGACCTAATGATGCACTTCAAAGTCCTAGAAAGACGAGAACACGCGAACTTAAAACTAAGAGGAGAAATGATAAGGAGTGGCTAAATTTAGACTAAAATAAATGGCGAGGGATTGAGGGGTGTGGAGGTGCACACCTGGGATCCCAGCCAGGTCCCCAGCATTCACAAGAAGGAGCCCCAGGCCCCTAGCGATTGTTCCAGCCGCAGCTGTTGGGGTGGCTGCCCTCGAGCCCGGCTCCCAGGCTGAGGCTGCACGCATCTCCTGTGTGGAGGACAGAGGTGAGGTCGGTGCCTCGGCAGAGCCAGCGTGCACAGTCAGTAGGTCCCGGCCCCGACTCTGCCCGGCTCCCAGCAGCCCTGGCCTTCTGAGCACTCGCCGTCCCGAGTGCCACTCGGCTGCCTTGTGGATTCCAAGGCTCCGCCCAGCACTCAGTAGGCCCTCAATTAGAATAGGTTTCTATCTGCCTTCCCTCAATTAGAATAGGTTTCTATCTGCCTTCCCTCAATTAGAATAGGTTTCTATCTGCCTTCTGTCCAGGCCTAAAGCTGCGGATCCCCTCCTCTGGACAAAATATTTACATCTTCGAAGCCGGCCCAGTCTCCACCTCTGGGCTGTGTGGAGGGCCCGCGGGGCCAGCTAGGGCCAGCTGGCTGCATGCCAGTCCCCCAGCGGCAGGCGGGAGAGGGCACTGCCTGTTTCTCCGCCCTCCTCCCTCTCCATGCCTGCCTGTCGTCACCTCACCGCGCCACTCCCCCAAACCGCACGAATTCCCTGGGGGTGAGCCCGCTTCATGACCCCACGCTGAAGGGCGAAGGTTTCCTGGCAGGGTCGCGGGCACCCAATGCGGAGAACGCTTGGCTTGCGGCTTCCTGACGCTCTGATAAATCACACGCGCTATTCCTGCCAAACGCGTGGCTCTGCCCTGTGGACGCCCTTGTCCTAGGGTCTCTGCAGTGCGGGCCCCATGCAGGCTCCGCCGCGTGGCCTCCTCGGTTCCCAGCTGCCCAGCTCCAGCTCTCGCCTGGCCAGGCAAGCAGGGGTCCTGTTCATGGGCTTTGCTGTCTCCTTCACTCCCAGAGACACCATGAACTTAGGACCAGAACCAAGATTCTTGGAGTGGCCAAATTCTAATCAGGCTTTAGCATTTTTTGCTAGGCCTCTCCGTGCATGTCCTGGCAGAAGTTAGTTTTGTTTTTTTTTTTAATTAATTAATTAATTATTTATTTATTTATTTTTGTGTGTGTGGCCAGCTCAGCCCACCAGGGGGCGGGGCTGGCTGGCATGTGGTGCTGGGGGATTGAACCGCGGTCCCTGTGCTTTGTTTAGCTTAGTTTGTTCTAAGTAGGTGCCTTAGACCACTGAGCCATCTCACCAGCCCCAGAAGTTAGTTTTTTGAGGATTTTTTTTTTCTTGTTGAGACAGGGCGTCTTGCTATGCAGTTCAGGTTGGCCTACAACTTGCAGAAATCCTCCTGCTTCAGCTTCCCCAGCCGTGAAGTGACAGGCCTGCACCACCACAGCCATCTGCCTGCTGTGCTTTAACCTTCTCTTTAACATCACGGGTGAGACCAGGTGTGCTGGGTGCTGGCCAAGGCCCCTTTCATGTGGTAGCCACCATCCTCATCTTACAAACAAGGAAACTCAGCCCCAGAGGTCCAACAGTTTGTCCAAGCCTGGCTGCTCCTATCAGGGTCTTTCAGCAGCCCAAAAGGAGGGTGAGTAATCTAGCCCCACCTCTGTGTCCATGACCTCCTGCCACACCCCACTTCACCCCACCCACCTTGCCCCACTTGTGGGCCCACTGGACAGGACAGCTCCCTGAGTGTCCTCTGAATGCCTTGCCACCCCACCTCCATCCCAGGCACAGGAAAGGGGTGCAGCTGTGCCCTTAAGTGACCCCTGGCCCCTTCCTCCCTAGGTGTCCCGACACTCTCCAAGTTTGGTCTTGAGGGGCTTCCAGGGAGCGGCAAGGGAGGCAGGGTGCAGAGCTGTGGGTGTTACCTTGGCCAGTGGCATGGGAAGCCCCAGACCTCGGCCTCCATTGGCTAGAACTGCTCCACCCACTGCAGGACAGGGCTGGACCAGGCGATGGCCATGGCGAGTGCCCATCTGTGCAGTGTGTGACTGTCCCGTCTGGGCCGTCTTCTAACCAGAGCAGTGGGGGGCCGACCTACATGGCCAGCCCTCAGAGCCGGCCCCTGCAGGCTTCGCACATGACATGGCGAATTCTCTGAAGGCGAGGCCAGGCTCCAGGTAGGGAGCTCCTTGTCCCTGGAGGGGAACAAGTAGAGGCAGCTAACCATCCTGTGGGTGGGATCTGAGCCAGCTGACCACAGGGCATCTCTGTGTCTACTCTGCCACTACCTCACCAGTGTGCAGCTGCTCTGTGTGTTAGGCCCACTGTGCAGCTGGGAAACTGAGGCACGGGGGGCTGCTGGGGCTTGCCTGGATGTCTGAAGCCAGCTGACACCTTCATGATCATCACTGTTCTGGGAGCTGGGCCTTTCCTCCTGAGCCAACCCTGCCCATTTCTCTTTTTCTTTTTGTGCATGGAACCCAGGTCCCTCACACTGAGCTGTGTCCCCACCTGTTGATCCTATTTTCTATTTTGAGACAGAGCCTTGAGGAATCACTGAGTTGCCCAGGCTAGGCTCAAACTCACAATGCTCCTGCCTCAGCCTCCCTGGGTGCTGGGACTATAGGTGTGCCCTGCTTCCTGCTGCCTTCTCGGTGGGGCTCTCTGGTCCTTGACAACCTGTGACCAGGGACGTCCATGTGATGCCAGGCCAGGACAAGGGTCGCTCCCTTTCAGTCTCCAGAGAATCTGGATGGAAACACAGGAGGGTGAAGCCCAGGCCAAGGATCAGCCAGCGCATGCGCAAAGCCTTCTGGGCCGGGTGAGGTTGTTCCTGCTCTCCCTGTTCCATGCTGCCCTGTCTGTCCCAGTCCCTGCTGGTACCCATGGCATGGGCGTGGGCTCCGCTGGCAAGCCAGCCTCCTATATCTGTAGTGCCCGATCGAAACGGGCAGGTTGGAGACCGGGCTGCAGGCCACCCTAGCGACCATGCGCCTAGACTGTGCCGCCGTGGGAGGCACTGTTTCCAGGACCCCTGCATGGGAGCCCTGGCCTCACCTCTCTGCCCACAGTGCAGCCGGGAGAGCTGGTGACCAGGATGAGGGTGCTGAACATCTCCATGCCGCTCCTGCAGGGCGTATGCCTGTCCATGTCCTCTCTGCTGGCTGGCTTCCTGGTTCCTCTCCCACCCCTGTCCCCAGCCAGAGTCGGGTCTGGTTTTATGGTTGATATAGTTGCCTTTGGGGGGGCTGCGTCCTGTGTCCTCGCTGTGGTGGAGCAGCCCAGGGCCTCCACAGTGCTGTCAGCGGGGATACAGCGAGTTGGTCATTAGCTGCCCAGGAAGCGGCCCCATCTGCCATCTTCCTCTGGAAATGCAGGGCAGGACTCCCTTGCTACTCCTGGAAGGCGGGGGCAGAGGAAGAGGCGGGGTCCACAGCCCTGGGCCACTGTGTCCGGACGTCACCCTGCACCTGGGAGCACCTCCTGCGGAAGCCACCCACAGGAAGGCACAGCTGTGTGCTGATGTGTCCCCTCTGACTGGCTGTCATCGCCCAGCCCTGGAAGTGACTCTTGCGCCCAGTGGCAGTGGGGTGCAGTCAGGACCATGCTGGTTAATGTCACAGAGTCCTGGATTGTCGCCTGTCACAGCTGATCTTATTCCTACCCCCTGCCCCGGTACAAGGACCACTGCATGTAGGGGGTCTGGCAACATCAGGGGTGTTTTCATAACACTCCCAGTCTCTGTGGTGATGTCTGTAAAATGGGGCTAATGGTGGGTGGGTCCCCAGGGTGCTAGGAAGGAGGCGGTGTCACAGGCTCAGCTTGAGCTGAGGTAGCGCTGACTGCACAGCCCTGCGTCTGCCCCCCTTTCCCCTCCCCCCATACCTGGCCATCAGACAGGATGTGAAGATTAAGAAGAATCTTGTTTTTCTTTCTGACAAGCTCTGACAGGTGCAGTCCCACCACGAACTCCCTGCACAGCCTAGATGGGCCTTGAACTTGGGGTCCTCCTGCCTCAGCCTCCTGAATGCTGGGGTCACAGGTGTGCACCACCATGCCCAGCTCAACTGGCCTTCTCTGCCTGGCCGGCTCTGTGCCAGGCCCCAGGAGGGGAGGAGTGAGGCTCTGTGGGAGCGGTGGGAGCGCCCCTCGGCCTCTGCCACCTGCGTCCCTGAGGCATCTGTGCCCTGCCCTTTGTGCCCACACTGGCACCTGAAGGATGTGGCTGAGCTGTGTTCCAAAACTCTTCTCAGGAAAAGGGCAGCTAGGTAAGGTCAAAGGGGACATGGAGCTGGGTGGCAGCTGCCCTTACGGTGAGCTCTTTCCTGCCTCCATGGCATGGCGCACCCTAAATACACCCCTGAACCACCCCCAGCCTCTGGAGGCAAAACAGGCAAATTCCCAGTGAGCAGATGGGAGCAGGAATCAAGCTGTGTGAAGTGCAAGTGACCCGTGGGCAGAGCCTCCACACCCACCCGGACCAGGGGTGCACACAGGCCCAGGGCTGGGGGCTCCTTGGGGACACAGGAGGGGACGGCATTGCTTGCGCTTGTCTCACAGGCCATCCCCCGGAACTAGGTTTCATTAATATTTAATTAAATATTTGTATGGGTAACAAAATAATGCATGCCTATGAGTTTTAAGAAAGGATCAGAAGGCAGCAGCATGTCTCTAAGCGAGCCAACAGCCCCCTTTGCCCACCTGACAGGGCCACCCGTGTCCACGCGCACCTTCCCCTCTGACTCTGGCCCCCGTGCATCTGAGTCACATGTTTTCCTGGTAGGGATTTCACTTCTTTACTTTTTTGGCGGTAACCAGGACCACACACTTCGAACTGAGCTTCCTCCGCAGAGCCAGTTTCCAGGGCCAGCGCTTCTGAAAACGCCACCACCAGGGACAGAGTCTACTGGGGCAGCGTTCAAGGTGCCCAAATACCTTAGCCAGGCCTGGTGGCCCAGGTCTGTCACCCAGCACCCAGGAGGCCAAGGCAAGAGCACAGCACGGTCCAGCTCAGCTTGGGCACCTTAGTGAGATCCTGTCTAAATTTTTTTAAAGTTTACAAATGGGCAGGGACACAGGTCAGTGCAAAGGCTCGGGCTGTATCCCCAGTGCCAAAATAAACCAAACACACACACACAAAAACTTCCCAGAAGGGGTTAATATGGTTATTTGTTGGTTTATTTAGATATGTGTGTTCTGAAAATGTTTATGTCCTGTCCTACGTGCCCCTGGTCCTCTCCATGGATGCAAAGCCCAAGCAGGAAATCCCTTCCCTCACATGGCTAAGGTTGCTGACTTACAGTGTTGAATACAGGATGTCCAATGTCAGCCTTTCTTTTTCCAAATTTAAAAACAGCTGCAAATAAATAAATAGATAAATAAATAAAAACAGCCATGAGCAGTTATTGGCCCAGGTCTGTGGTCCCAGCACTCAGGAGGCTGAGGCAGGAGGATCGCCATGAGTTCAAGACCAACTTGGATTGCACAGGGAAATCAAAGACAGCTCAAGCTACAGAGTGGAACTCTGCCTCAAAAGTCAATAAATAAATGCAGAGAGTTTCAGCAATAAAATTATAAGACTTGTGTAGAAAACCAACAAGCCTGATCGGCCTCTAGCCCTGACCCTCTTCGTGGAGGAGAGGATTACCTTTGGTTTTCGGGTCTGCACACTTGGAAACACCAGTCTGGTGCTGTCCTTAATCGTCTCCTCAGGGGACAGAGGAGAGTGCAGCCCATGCCCACCCACACCCCCACACCCACCCCCTGCGCATGTGCTCATCCCCCAGCATCCCGGGGCGCACCAGCTCCCCAGGATGAGCGATCCCTGCTCACCGGCCTGGGTCTGATTTGGACTAGCAGCAGACCTGCTAACAGGGTGTTTATTCCGCTTGGGCAGCCGGGCACAGGAATGGTCCAAGAACGTGCGTGTGTGTGCCTGCTTATGCACGTGCATGCACCTGCGTGCCTGCCTGCATGTCCCTTGGAGCCTCAGTCCTTTATCCCTTATCCTCATCCTGGTGCTGTTTCTTGAATTTTGTTTTTTAGTTTTAAAAATTTATTTATTTATTTGGTATAGGGTCTCGCTATGCAGCTCGGACTCGTAGTGATCCTCCTCAGACTCCCTAGCACTGAGATTACAGGCTTACGCCACCACGCCCAGTTTCAGCCGGCACAGTTCGCCCAGGGCTCTAGGCCGGTACCGGAACTGAACCTGGGTCTTTGCACTTGCCAGGTAGGCGCTTAGACCGTAGAGCTATTTGTCCAGCCCTGAATTTTATATCTTGAAGTCACTGCTAATTTTAGAGAAGGACGCTGGGAGATCCTTTTTGCCCATCTACTTACCCATCCATCCATTCATCCACCTATTTTTTTGCGGTACCGGGGATTGAACTCAGGGCCTTGCGCTGAGTTCTACTGAGCTATCTCTCCAGCCTCATCTACTTGTTGTTTGAGACGGTTTCGCTATGTATCCTAGACTGGCCTCACACTCCTGGCAATCTCCCTGCCTCAGCCTCCTGAGTGCTGGAATGACAGCGTGTGCCACCACAACCCTCCCTCTCTCCTGCCTTTTAGGGCTCCCTTTTTACTTTTCTTAAACTTTACCACAGTGACAGTCAGATCTCAAATTCCCATGTGCGTGGAAGTGGCAAATCTCGGGGTGGTGTTCTTACTGGTGCATTTTCCCATGAATGACTTCATCCCTGAATTTGCTCTGAGGAAGTAGGGCTTGGCTGGAGTGGGTGACAGGGCGGGAAGTGAAGGGCGCCCAGCTTCTCCCTCCGTCCATCGTGGGCCTGTGCATCAAGCCTCGGGCATCTCCTCTGCTGGCCTCTCTGCCGTCCTGTCTGTCTTGGAGTTGGCCAACTACAGGCTGAAGCCACAAGCAAAATAAACCGCTCCTTCTTCAGACTGTGCTCATTGGCCACTGTGTCTGGAGATGGGGAAGTGACAACGGTGGCAGCTCTGTGCCTAGCCTGGCCCTTTTCTGAGGGGCTCCTTCCCAGGGGGTCCTTGAGCCCCAGAGAGCTGCTGCTGTTCTCTATGTGTATGGTGCTGGGGATGGAATTCAGGGCTTCTTGTGTGCTAGGCATGGCCTCCACTGCTGAGCCACACCCTCAGCCTGTTTTTTTTTTTTTTTTTTTTTTAGTTTTGAGACAAGGTTTTACTATATTGCTCAACATGCCCTTGAACTTGTGATCCGCCTCCGCCTCCCGAGTACTGGAAGGACAGGCCTGTGCCTTTGCCCTGTCTTCAATGCTTTCCTCCCCTTCACCTGCCCCACTAGATTTGGGGCAAAACACAGAGGCATTAAGGGAACACGAGGTACCCCGGAAGAGGATGGGGCTAGTGACAACGCCAACGAGGCACCTTCAGCAGCACATTTCATGGTTATCAGGGGAACCTGGACAACATGAAAGATGTCCAAGCCCAGACGCCTGCAGAGGGGGTGCTCTGCAGAAGTAGGGGTGTCTCTTTCTAGCCTGGCGGGGTAAGAGTGAACTCGAGCCCCAGCTGACTGGAGCATCTGCATTCCTCAAGCTCTTGGGAGGGCTAGTGAGTCGTGGGGCCGAGGCCCTCAGCGCTGCTCAGGCTCTTGCTTCGGGGACGTCAGCACTGCAGCGCCCAGAGCCCGAGGCAGAGCCGCGTCACTGCAGCTGTGGGGTCACACGAGGCTGGGGTGAGCCTGGCTTCCTCTTGTGGCTGCTGCAGAAAGAGAAGTCAGCCCAGAGGCTAGAGGGGGAGGTCACAGGGACACTGTCCGGGGCAGGTACTGGACATCCCGGTCTCCCAGCCCATTCCCCAGTAGGGCACCATTTCTACCTTGATGTGTGGCCAAGGCTGAGCTTGCCTGTCCTCTAGCAAAGATGAAATGGGCCATTTTGAGGTATCTAGAGTTGCTAGGAACAGGTGAGACTGTGACAGCTTAGGTCCACCCACCGGCAAGCGTCAGGACAGAGATGGGGATTCCAAGTGCAGAGTTCTTCAACATTTTCTTTTTTGAGAAGGATTTCGTTTTCTTTCTTTTTCCTTGGCTGGCTCAGGCTGCCTTAAGGGCGGGTCTGGGAGGGCATGTGGAGCTGGGGCTCAAACCGCGGTCCCCTGTGCCTGATTGGGTTTGC